CTACTATTTGGGACCAGTCCATGTAAGGTTCCGCTACTTAAATATTTTATTTAAGCAGTGGCTTAGACCTTGTCTAAGTCGTTGGCTCGACTCATGTAACGCTTCCTCAGTGATTTTTTATAAAGAACATAAATCTTCAGAAGGATGTCTACTGAAGTTATCACAATGAGTATTATTAGCAGTATGTTTGTTAACTGCACATGGGGAGTGGTGTCTACGACTTCTACTACGTTAACTACATTGGCAGTGTTATCATCTGCCTTTGATTCTTTTCCCCCCATATTCCTATATAAATATTCTTGCTTTTTGATTTGACTACTACCTATGCAGACGTACTAAAACAATTGTTGTCTGCCCTAGAATCGGATGCTCGTCAATAATTGTTTTTATTTTGACGTAGGGTAGTGTGGACAAGATTATTCCGCTCTCTATTTTAGAACATGAATAGAGTGGACTTGTCACTGTGCCGAATGTTTCTATATATTCGTATTCGAACTCATATACTGGTATGAATTCTCTATGCCTTTGCAAAATTTGTATGGCTCGCATACGAAAGTCTGTATAGTCGTTATATACCTTGTTAATCTTGTCCTTAATCATGCTAATTCTTGATCATAATTTTGAATTACCTAATGTGACAAACTGAACGAATTATAACTTTTTAATTTCCTCTTTTTGATATTAATATTCATATATTTGTTGTTTGTATCGTTCATTTGAGGTCTTAGGAATTATCTTAAAAAAAAATTTACAAATGCGTAATGTTAAATTTGTTTTGGTTTACTTTTACAAGACAAGTTGTTGTTTGTATCGTTCATTTGAGGTTTTATTACTATATTTATTGAATTTGATGCTTTTATTGTTTTACAAGTCGGGTTTTGTTTTGCTTGTTTGTTTTCTGCTTAAAACGCATCTAAAAAATTTTTTTTTTTACAATCTGTATTTTTCCTACCTATTGTTTCGTACTGGCCAAACTTCTTGACTCAATTGTCGTCGGGCATTACAATTTTTAAGTTTTATTTATTACTATTTAATTTAATATGTTGGTAATGTTTGGATTTAATAATGATTTCACAAAAGCACGTTAGTGCTGGTTGACTTGGGTTTTTAGAATCAAGGTTTCAATATTTCTTATAACACAAACTACCTAGCATTTCGCATAGCTTTACGGTCTATGCTGCTAATCGGGCGGAAGTGTTTCCGCTCAATTTTACAAAATTTTTTTTTTATATTTAATTAAAAGTAGTTAAGGATATAGCAGCAACTGTTGTTCATCGTTGCATCAGCTGGGCGTCGCCGGATGTGGCACGCTGATGCTCCATCGTATGCGCAAGTGGCGGTGTGCCTCTCGCACTTATTCCGATGGCACAGCTTGTTGCGCTGGCGGTACCGGTGCTGGTCTTCGCACAGGTGTTTATTTGTTGGTTATAATGTAATGTTTGGAGGTGCTGGCTGTGCAGTGTCTGCACGTATATTCGCAGAAGGGGCTGTCGAGTGGGCCTTCGCAATCCTGTGGGCACATTCGTTTTTCTTTTGGTAGGCTGGTTGCGTCAATGGGTGTAACTTTATTAGTTGTTTGGTTTATTAGAACTTTTATATTTGAGTGAGTAGTGGTGTTTGGTTTTCTCTGCTTAATTTAATTTTCTTCTGAGCTGTCGACCATGCGGGTGTTGGCTGTTTTGTGTATAGCAGCCACCTTAGGTGCGCTATTCTTTTATTAATTTTATTTTTTAAGCCACCGCGTTTATGAACCGTAACACTCACTCTCTACTCACTTAGAATACGGGATGCCTCTCGTTGATCATGAAGTTCCTTTTTCACTTGGATATTATAGATGGCCTCTTTGTTGGCCATGAAGTTCCTTTTCAAATTGTATATTATACATGGCCTCTTTGTTGGCCATGAATTTCCTTTTCACTTGGTCTACTTCCTCCAGGCAGGGATGCGTGACCAAGTCACGGTCGCCATGTAAAATGAGCACTTATTGTCAATGAAAAATAAGTCAGCACGTCAGTGCTGTTTTGTATCTTTGTTCAGAATGAATTTATTCACTTGTTATAATGTTCGCTTAGCCTATGGATATACATATATACTTATGCTGTTATTCGTTAACAGCTACAAAGAGAGGGAGAGTGAGTAGCTCGCATATGCCTGTATTAGTGAGCATATATATTGCTCACGGAATGCGCTCAGACGGAGCGTGGGATATGCATCATAAGCATAAACGGTCAGCTAGTGAGGCTAGTGAACCGCGCTGCGTAATATGAGACCGAGCCAATACATAATGTGGCTCTGGGCTCGTTTACTATATTATTGTTATTGTATGCAACAAAGTGCTGCATACTTTATGTTTAAGTACGGGGTATTCTGTAAGGGCATATACCCACTACAGTTCAGGGTGTCCCTTAGTCGGGGGCTCTCGACTAGAACCTCCTAATTGTTTAGTTTTCTATTAGGTATTACTTTGCTGAAAAAAAAAGTAATTTATTATATATTGTTATTACTTTAAGGGTATTCAGAATATGAACCTTGCATAAGAAATAGTAAATTAATGCAAAAATCGATTTTATTGAATTATGACAATCTTCAAGTAGATGAGCGATATATGTATTTGTGTTTGTTATTTGATCTAAATTGTAATTTAGATTTGAATCTAAATTGTAAGGATATATGTGTTAATACTTATATATGATTTCCACCTGCAATTCTTTATGTCCTTATCTTTCATTGTTACCTTGTGAAATACACATTAAGAATCTCTTACTTTAAATAAACACTGGGTTGTTTTTCTCATTTTTTTCCGTAAACACTTCTTTTGTTTAAAAAATTTGGGCGTTACATTTGTCGATTTTTGAAATTTTTCAATTGTTGTATAAGTATATCGTGGCTAACGCTACTCTTTGTTGTATAAACCTCCATGTATTTGAAAAAATATTTAAAACGCGATGAAAAATACAAATAGTTTTTCGAGTCATCATTTTTGAAAATAATAATATCATAGCATAGATTTATAATAAAAACAAGTAAGAGGTTGTAGTTGGGAGCTCCCGATTAGGGGATACCCTGAACCCTCTGTTTTCAACATCAAATGCAAATATATATTCTCTTTTACAAGCTATATTTCAAGTTTGGCGACTCTAGCTCTTATTATTTACCAAAATTGCCCAAAAAGAGGATATCGATATCGATTGCTTGGAAACGGAGTAAGTTATCGATTATCGGAAACAAACTCGATATGCGCAGGCACTAGGAGCACCTACATCTAAAATTTCAAGTCTCTAGCTCTTATAGGTTCTGAGATCGTTGCGTTCATACATACGGACGGACGGACAGACAGGCGGACAGACGGACATGGCTAGATCGACTCGGCTATTGATGCTGATCAAGAATATATATACTTCTGCCTGTTACATACATTTGGATTTTGCACAAATATAATATACCCTTATACCCATTTTTAATTGGTTCAGGGTATAAAAATACAGGCCGTTTTATGAGTTTTATTTATTTTCTATATAGTAATATTTGATCACCACGCCCAGCAAGGGATTTTGAAAATTCGTATTTAACAAGGCATACAGTAAAAAAACCTGTATCACAACACATTTCAAAGCTAGAGTCATCAGGATAATTTATTTTTTAATTGGGTTAATTTTTATACTGTTTTACATGGCTTACTTTTTTTTAGCAAGCTATGTTTTTTAGTCTCAAAAGTTGATTCGTATTTTTCCACGTTAGTAAAAAGAATTTATAATTAATACTTAAAGATGGTCTATTACTCAAAAAGAAACTAATTTTAATATTAAACTATTATCTGTATAGAAGTGTACACTGAAATCGTGATGGATAATACAATTTGTGTAATATTAAAATATGAATTGTATTTGCTTAGGAAATCCTGTCGACATTTTAGAGAATCTACACACTATGGAAGCGGAAAACTCACCATATTGCTTACCACAAAAATCAAAATTGAAATTTAGGTTGGAGTAAGTATTGCTCTTTAGTGATTAGTTCAGTGACTTGAATTTCCTCCATCCTGTGTAAAAATTTATTTGTCATATATGTATAACTAAAAAGTTTGCAAAGTCATTAGGTGCAGAATTCTCAATGCCCAGAAATAATAATGTGATCAGCAAATATTTTGATAAGACCTTCAAACTATGAGTACTGTATTATGCTCAGACTTGTTGCCAATATGGCACATTAAGCGACAGAGTAAAAAAGCATAGTAATAATGCTGATCGTAAAGTAGTAAAGTGCTGCATCCTATCTCCTGCCCAACCGGCCGAGGGGCGCAGTCGTATAACGTGCGACACAAAACGGGAGATCCCGACTAGGCAATACCCTGAACCAAAGACAATATAAACACTAAGATGAGTATCGCCCTTACATTTGAATGCGACGCAAAATTTCTAGCCTGGCCATTCATCTGGCCCTTGAGGCTTCGTACAGCATGCCTGCCGACTGGTTGTTCGTTCCCCAAAGACCAGACGAACGAATGCCGAAGTCGCGGCTTGCTGATGCTGACACGAGCTTCGAAGTTAGTCGCCAGCCTGCCCTCAGCAAAGCTGGTCGATGCTGCTTTGCATCGCTTCGTTTTCGAAGTACATTGAGCGAAGATATTTACTACTTAGGATCGACGCAATGTGCTTGTGCTTTATCCATGAAATGCATGCTTTATTTGAATGATATATTACCCTAGATATTAACGATTAATTTAACAGGAAAGTTTAAGAACTTATATCATTTTTACACAAGGCGTTTCTTGCGCAATAACCTTGTTAAGAAAATAGCACACATAGATTGATTTCACTTTTATTTTTGGACAGTGTATGCTCGAGAAAAGTTCTTGTCTCAGCCAATAGCGTGCGTGCACGTTTCGTTGTATGCGTGAATTATACATGCATAAGATCTTTAAAGTCTGTATGTATGTGTTGTTCTTCACTGCTCTGGCTTTAGCTGGCAAGAAATTAATTTTGTAAGTTTTCTAGCGCATATCATGACCTATCCCAAATTTGTGTTGATATATGAATGCATTTTGTGTACTTTGCATCAGCTGGGCGTCGCCGGATGTGGCACGCTGATGCTCCCTCGTATGCGCCTCGTGGCGGTGTGCCTCTCGCACTTATTCCGATGGCACAGCTTGTTGCGCTGGCGGTACCGGTGCTGGTCTTCGCACAGGTGTTTATTTGTTGGTTGTAATGTAATGTTTGGAGGTGCTGGCTGTGCAGTGTCTGCACGTATATTCGCAGAAGGGGCTGTCGAGTGGGCCTTCGCAATCCTGTGGGCACATTCGTTTTTCTTTTGGTAGGCTGGTTGCGTCAATGGGTGTAACTTTATTAGTTGTTTGGTTTATTAGAACTTTTATATTTGAGTGAGTAGTGGTGTTTGGTTTTCTCTGCTTAATTTAATTTTCTTCTGAGCTGTCGACCATGCGGGTGTTGGCTGTTTTGTGTATAGCAGCCACCTTAGGTGCGCTATTCTTTTATTAATTTTATTTTTTAAGCCACCGCGTTTATGAACCATAACACTCACTCTCTACTCACTCAGAATACGGGATGCCTCTCGTTGATCATGAAGTTCCTTTTTCACTTGGATATTATAGATGGCCTCTTTGTTGGCCATGAAGTTCCTTTTCAAATTGTATATTATACATGGCCTCTTTGTTGGCCATGAAGTTCCTTTTCACTTGGTCTACTTCCTCCAGGCAGGGATGCGTGACCAAGTCACGGTCGCCATGTAAAATGAGCACTTATTGTCAATGAAAAATAAGTCAGCACGTCAGTTCTGTTTTGTATCTTTGTTCAGAATGAATTTATTCACTTGTTATAATGTTCGCTTAGCCTATGGATATACATATATACTTATGCTGTTATTCTTTAACAGCTACAAAGAGAGGGAGAGTGAGTAGCTCGCATATGCCTGTATTAGTGAGCATATATATTGCTCACGGAATGCGCTCAGACGGAGCGTGGGATATGCATCATAAGCATAAACGGTCAGCTAGTGAGGCTAGTGAACCGCGCTGCGTAATATGAGACCGAGCCAATACATAATGTGGCTCTGGGCTCGTTTACTATATTATTGTTATTGTATGCAACAAAGTGCTGCATACTTTATGTTTAAGTACGGGGTATTCTGTAAGGGCATATACGCACTACAGTTCAGGGTGTCCCTTAGTCGGGGGCTCTCGACTAGAACCTCCTAATTGTTTAGTTTTCTATTAGGTATTACTTTGCTGAAAAAAAAAGTAATTTATTATATATTGTTATTACTTTAAGGGTATTCAGAATATGAACCTTGCATAAGAAATAGTAAATTAATGCAAAAATCGATTTTATTGAATTATGACAATCTCCAAGTAGATGAGCGATATATGTATTTGTGTTTGTTATTTGATCTAAATTGTAATTTAGATTTGAATCTAAATTGAAAGGATATATGTGTTAATACTTATATATGATTTCCACCTGCAATTCTTTATGTCCTTATCTTTCATTGTTACCTTGTAAAATACACATTAAGAATCTCTTACTTTAAATAAACACTGGGTTGTTTTTCTCATTTTTTTCCGTAAACACTTCTTTTGTTTAAAAAATTTGGGCGTTACATTTGTCGATTTTTGAAATTTTTCGATTGTTGTATAAGTATATCGTGGCTAACGCTACTCTTTGTTGTATAAACCTCCATGTATTTGAAAAAATATTTAAAACGCGATGAAAAATACAAATAGTTTTTCGAGTCATCATTTTTGAAAATAATAATATCATAGCATAGATTTATAATAAAAACAAGTAAGAGGTTGTAGTTGGGAGCTCCCGACTAGGGGATACCCTGAACCCTCTTTTTCCAACATCGAATGCAAATATATATTCTCTTTTAGAAGCTATATTTCAAGTTTGGCGACTCTAGCTCTTATTATTTACCAAAATTGCCCAAAAAAGAGGATATCGATATCGATTGCTTGGAAACGGAGTAAGTTATCGATTATCGGAAACAAACTCGATATGCGCAGGCACTAGGAGCAGCTACATCTAAAATTTCAAGTCTCTAGCTCTTATAGGTTTTGAGATCGTTGCGTTCATACATACGGACGGACGGACAGACAGGCGGACAGACGGACATGGCTAGATCGACTCGGCTATTGATGCTGATCAAGAATATATATACCTTATGGGGTCGGAGATGCTTCCTTCTGCCTGTTACATACATTTGGATTTTGCACAAATATAATATACCCTTATACCCATTTTTAATGGGTTCAGGGTATAAAAATACAGGCCGTTTTATGAGTTTTATTTATTTTCTATATAGTAATATTTGATCACCACGCCCAGCAAGGGATTTTGAAAATTCGTATTTAACAAGGCATACAGTAAAAAAACCTGTATCACAACACATTTCAAAGCTAGAGTCATCAGGATAATTTATTTTATAATTGGGTTAATTTTTATACTGTTTTACATGTTTTTTAGTCTCAAAAGTTGATTCGTATTTTTCCACGTTAGTAAAAAGAATTTATAATTAATACTTAAAGATGGTCTATTACTCAAAAAGAAACTAATTTTAATATTAAACTATTATCTGTATAGAAGTGTACACTGAAATCGTGATGGATAATACAATTTGTGTAATATTAAAATATGAATTGTATTTGCTTAGGAAATCCTGTCGACATTTTAGAGAATCTACACACTATGGAAGCGGAAAACTCACCATATTGCTTACAAAAATCAAAATTGAAATTTAGGTTGGAGTAAGTATTGCTCTTTAGTGATTAGTTCAGTGAGTTGAATTTCCTCCATCCTGTGTAAAAAGGTATTTGTCATATATGTATAACTAAAAAGTTTGCAAAGTCATTAGGTGCACAATTCTCAATGCCCAGAAATAATAATGTGATCAGCAAATATTTTGATAAGACCTTCAAACTATGAGTACTGTATTATGCTCAGACTTGTTGCCAATATGGCACATTAAGCGACAGAGTTAAAAAGCATAGTAATAATGCAGATCGTAAAGTAGTAAAGTGCTGCATCCTATCTCCCGCCCAACCGGCCGAGGGGCGCAGTCGTATAACGTGCGACACAAAACGGGAGCTCCCGACTAGGCAATACCCTGAACCAAAGACAATATAAACACTAAGATGAGTAACGCCCTAACATTTGAATGCGATGCAAAATTCTAGCCTGGCCATTCATCTGGCCCTTGAGGCTTCGTACAGCATGCCTGCCGACTGGTTGTTCGTTCCCCAAAGACCAGACGAACGAATGCCGAAGTCGCGGCTAGCTGATGCTGACACGAGCTTCGAAGTTAGTCGCCAGCCTGCCCTCAGCAATGCTGGTCGTTGCTGCTTTGCATCGCTTCGTTTTCGAAGTACATTGAGCGAAGATATTTACTACTTACGATCGACGCAATGTGCTTGTGCTTTATCCATGAAATGCATGCTTTATTTGAATGATATATTACCCTAGATATTAACGATTAATTTAACAGGAAAGCTTAAGAACTTATATCATTTTTACACAAGGCGTTTCTTGCGCAATAACCTTGTTAAGAAAATAGCACACATAGATTGATTTCACTTTTCTTTTTGGACAGTGTATGCTCGAGAAAAGTTCTTGTCTCAGCCAATAGCGTGCGTGCACGTTTCGTTGTATGCGTGAATTATACATGCATAAGATCTTTAAAGTCTGTATGTATGTGTTGTTCTTCACTGCTCTGGCTTTAGCTGGCAAGAAATTAATTTTGTTAGTTTTCTAGCGCAGATCATGACCTATCCCAAATTTGTGTTGATATATGAATGCATTTTGTGTACTGAGGTTGGCTCCGCAGAAAATACCCGAAGGTCATATTTAGTTATTACCCCATTATGATTATAATGGTCTCCTCGCGGTGTTCCTTGCGTACTTTGTTCTTTATAATTCGAACAACAAAAATAATAAAATAAAAAAAAAATAATTAAATGTATCTTTGAAAAAATAATAATTTAATTAATAATTTCAAATATAAAAAATAAATAAATAAATATTTGCATCGACTTAAAAATACAAATTTTTTCGTACGGAGTACACAAAATGCATTCATATATTAACAGAAATTAATATACGATCTTCAGGAATTACCTTAGACCGTATACCTTTATTTGTTTGATTTGTTGTAATTACAGCTCTTTTACTTCTTTTATTTCTTCCTGTTTTAGCGGGAGCTATTACTATATTATTAACAGACCGAAATCTTAATACTTCATTTTTTGACCCAGCTGGTGGAGGAGATCCAATTCTATACCAACATTATTTTGATTTTTTGGTCACCCAGAAGTTTATATTCTAATTTTACCGGGATTTGGAATAATTTCTCATATTATTAGCCAAGAATCAGGTAAAAAGGAAACTTTTGGATATTTAGGAATAATTTATGCAATATTAGCTATTGGATTATTAGGATTTATTGTAGGTCGTGATCTGCGCTAAAAAACTAAGAAAATTGTTTCTATGCCAGCCAGAGACTTTGCCAGAGCAGTGGATAACAACACATTCAAATATGCTGTTATGTATGTATTATTCACACGCATACAAACATAATTGCTTGCACGGCCCTCATAGAGCCGAAGCTGAGAGCAAATTCTATTTTTAGCTTTTTCGTTCTCTCGGCTGTGACAGCGCAATGCTATTAATTTCGTTTTCGTTCTCAATTTTCAAAAAATCAAGCTGCATAGAAGCATTTTGTTGTATGGCGTTACTCATCTTAGTGTTTATATTGTCTTTGCCTGAACCTTCTTATACGAACACCAAGTAAATAAAAAAAAAAAGTTTCCTTGGCTGGGCTCGAACTCGCAACTGACCGCGCCGCTTGCTGTTATATGCTGTTATAATGCGAAGAAGACGCGCATGAATGTTGTGTGTACATGTATACAGAAACTATTAAAGCTGCTGCCCCATTCAATTTCGCAGTTGCATATAACTTTGGTTTTTTCCTAATCGATCTTTATGAAATGTTCTACAGTATATCTTATTGTACCATATTTGTGTATTCTGAAAAAATCAATTGCATTTAAATTGTGGTTTAAATTGGTTGGCAATAAAAGTTGGGTTAATAACTTGATTTATAGCTATGGGTGGTAACGGGGAGGCGGCAGTAGGTATAAAATGAAAGATACTTGACATATATATAATATTTAGAAAGCAACATATCATGTTAGGTGACTCTAGCTCTTATTATTTACCAAAATTTCCCAAAAAACAGGATATCGATATCGATTGCTTGGAAACGGATTAAGTTATCGATTATCGGAAACAAACTAGATCTGCGGGCACTAGGAGCACCTACATCTAAAATTTCAAGTCTCTAGCTCTTACAGGTTCTGAGATCCTTGCGTTCATACATGCGGACAGACAGACATGGCTAGATCGACTCGGCCATTGATGCTGATCAAGAATATATATACTTTATGGGGTCGAAGATGCTTCCTTCTGTCTGTATACATTTGGATTTTGCATAAATACAATATACCCTTATACCACTAACCATACAATGTATAGACATACCAAATGGCACTTTTAATCGAAACATGAAAAATCGAAACGAGGCGACCCCAATGGTACCTGCGACCATTTTAGTGTGCCCAGACACTGCTGAGACTGCTGAGAGTGGCAGTCGAACGCCGGCCTCAAAAGCCGAACGTTCAGTATGAAGCCGCATCTCGCTCAGCGCACAACGACGCGGCTGATGCGTTTTCTTAATATATGTATGTATGCCATTTTTAAATCCTTACAGCCCTAAAACATATATGTGTATGCATGTGCCTCG